TTTTATTAAAATTAATAAAGATGAATAATAGTGAATAACTCAAAAAACTTATTTGTTTTGTAATCTATAGGATTAACAGCTAAAGTATGATAATTGTGATTAAAGCCAAAATCCCATTTTTCTTAAATTAAATAAGAATATTTATTTTAGTCAATGATATTACAAGTAAATTTAGAGGATCAAAGTCTCTGCCTTAAACACTTGTAATTAATAGTATTTTTAAAAACTTATATCTGAGCTATGGCATTTTCTGGGAGGTAGTTTTATTAAAGATTTGAATTGGAAAGAGATTTATGTTACATATTTTTCATAGTAATATTCTTAGTGTTCATAATGTAGAAGCATATATATGCTGAGACAAATTATAATGTGATACTTTATGGAGCATCCTGCTCTGCCCCTTTGTCCTGCTTGAATTGATGCTGAATACATCACATGGAATTCATATAGTGAGCTCATCTGTGCTATGTGAACTTGTCCATGATGGGGGTGATTTTATTGAACATGTTCTCATAGATGATCTCAACTACCCCAGAACCTCAAGTCACTCTATCATCATTTACCTAAAGACTAAACTATCTGACTGTTGCATATAGAGTCAACTAACTACTTTTGCATTATCTGTCTTGTTTCCTTTATGTTTAGTATTACATCAGAATGTGAATTTGCCGTTCTGATAGAGACCATTTTTTTGAGAGACAAAGAAAGAAAGAAATTAATATCAACGTTACTGACTGTTTACTTTGGCCAGTCATTGTTCTAAGCACTCCCTGTGCATTGATCAATTTAATCTTCACAGTATCTTGTGAGGTAATTAATACCTTTATCTTCTTGTACAGATGAGGCTTGGAGAGGTAAATTACTTGCCCATAGTCAAAGAGCCAGGAAGTGTTGCAGTCAGGGCTCAGACTCAAGCAACCTGCACCCTTATCCACTACACTATACCTGTAATGAGTCAGCTTTAAGCTGAGAGGAGGGGTGTTAAGATGAGGAATTTGGGGGTTTGTGGGGAGCTACCATTCATGCACAAGACTGGGTACTCAGTGCTGAGGAAAATGGCAATTGGGGATATGCAGTGTGGCAATTTTGTACCTTAACATGGGATGCCTGTAAGTTTGCATGTGTGTTAGTTCCATGAAGATAAATAGAAATGACACATTGGATTTGTTCTGAAAATTTAAAGGAAGTAACTATAAGCCATTATGAAAAAAGAAAAAAACAAAAAACAAAAAACTACAGAGAGAGCAGAAAGATCAGTGGTTACCAGGGATTGGGGCAGGGGATTAAGGGAGGATGAACAGGTAGAATAAAGATAATTTTTAGGGCAGTGAAACTGTTCCATAGGATACTGTAATGGTGAATAGGTGTCATTATGCATTTGCCAAAACCCATATAACTAACTGTACAATACAAAGAGTGAACCCTAATGTAAAGTATGGACTTCAGTTAATAACAATGCGATAGTATTGTTTCATTAATTGTAACAAGTGTAACACACTAATATAAAACAGAAGAAACCATGACTGAGGAAGAAAGGGGATGTATGGGAGCTTTATATCTGCTCAATTTTCTATAAACCTGAGGCTCCAAAAATGAAGCCTGTTCATTTTTTGAAAAAGGAAGGAAAAAGAAACTATTTGTAAGTTATCATATGACTGTAATTGTGAATCAGTCAGGAAATGGGTGACTCGTTTCAGAATAATTGTATCTTTTCTTCATTCATGTTGACATCCAAGACTTCCATACTCTCACTCAGGTACAAATTCCAAAAATGCCTTAATGCTGTGCTCTCTGTACACCATTAAGCTATGAATTCTGGATGAGCCCAAGTCTACTTGCCTCAGTTCCTCTGTGAATAGGAAAGAAACACCTTTTGAATGCATCATTAACTCTTGTAAAGCCACAGGGACACAACTGAAGAGTGGTTGAGTGGTTTCCCTAAATGTATAACTTACAAGGAAGGAAAAGAGAAATCTCCCCAGCATCTTTTAGCATGATTATAATGATGGGCCCGATTTTCCCATGCATAATCAGCCTTTGTTCATAGGCTGGCATTTGAAGGGAGTATTTACTCCAGATTTTAAAAATGAAAGAGCTTGTATGGGCTGAGAAAAAAAGAAGTGGGTAAATACTAACATTTATCGTGGAGGTGGAAACTACTTCCCCTACACTTTTCTCACCATTCAAGTCACAGTGTGAAGGAAATAGCTTTCAAAATTGAGATGGCCAATGGATCCATAACTGTGCTTTCTCCACACTGTTAAAGCTCAGTGTGGGTCTTGCTGGCGAGGCAAACAGTAAGGGAGACATCACAGGATGCAGGGTTATTAGAGAAAGCAGGAGAGATTCACATTTCTGTCACAACTAAGGTCTAGCTGACTCACCCATGCATGAGAAATGCTTCTTCTCGGCTCATTTTCTAGAGTTGGTGGCTTGATTGACCCCCCCAAAAAGCAGTTTTTTATTCAGAAATGACTTATGTGAAGCTAATGATCATTATCTACCATTTCAGAATTACAGGGTTTGCTTGGGCCTCATACCTCTTCATAAGAATACAGGAGATTTTTTTTTTTTAATTATTTATTTATTTATTTTTATTTATTTTTTTTTTAAAGATTTTTTATTTAGTTATTTGACCGAGAAAGACACAGTGAGAGAGGGAACACAAGCAGGGGGAGCGGGAGAGGGAGAAGTAGGCTTCCTGCTGAACAGGGAGCCCGATGCGGGGCTCGATCCCGGGAGACTGGGATCATGACCTGAGCTGAAGGCAGAAGCTTAGCCACTGAGCCACCCAGGCGCCCCTACAGGAGATTTTTTAAAGATATCACAATTTTAGAAGAAAAGATATAAATCCACACCATGGAATAAGTTTTGCTATATACTTATTAGATAGGAATAAGAATATATAAACATATTCATAAATGGTATATAGGCACTCTATAATTAAGAGTTTGTATAATTGGTAACTAAACTCCATCATGAATATAAGGTTAATAACCTGGGTAGTAACACTTTTTGTCTGTTAGGATTTTGATTATATTGGGGGGCGGTGGGTAGGAGGGAGTGGTATCTTTTTCTATGCCAATCTGTGTCCAAATACTGTTCTCACTTGCACATTTGAATCAGGTTGATGTTGGACTTGTTGCTTCCTGTTATCAATTTTGATACGTTAAGTGATGAAATTTCAAACTTTTGTCCTTAGAAAGGACAGATTCTCTTTTTTACTACCTAACAACTATAATTCTGTTGCTACTCTTCTTGTAATGTCTGTTTCTACATGCTACTGTACTATGCAATGCAGGATTAATGATAATGCAGTTCTCCTCAAACACTGACTTCAGTTATTTATGGCTATCCCAGAAAACTGTGTAATATAAGCCACTGGTGTAGCTTTGGAAAACCTCCAGTGATTTGAAATGAGGGGAAACACAAAAATGTCAAGATTAATTACTAATCAGAAGGTTTTTTTCTTCCTAAACCTACATATACTCCATATTTTACAAACAACTTTGTACTATTAAGGGTATTTATAACAAAATATCATTGAGTACTATGTAGATTATGATTACTAATTTGCTTTAGCTGTCATGCGTTTACTCTGTCATGCTCTTTTATAAGCCATTAGCTTATATCATTCGCTTAGTCTTCACAAAAGCCTGTATTTATCTATCCATTATACAGATCAGGAGACTGAGGTGGGTAGAGAAAAGCACTTGCTAAATGTCACACGTTTACTAATTAATGAAGTAAAGATTTAAACTCAGAAAATATTGCTGTAGCATTCCTGATTAGTAATAAATTTCTGAACAGAAGCAATCCTATTAAATGAAGACTATATGGATAAAATTCGCTATTTTTATAAGAAAGACTATTACTGTTATTATTACAGTTATTTATTGTAATTATTTTCTCTAGTGTCCTTTTCTCTTTTGACAGTCTGAACTGCAAAATTCTGTCTATAATTTGGTAGTTCGGGATTTTAAATTTCAATAGTGATTAAGTGTGATTGTTTAATAGTTCACTGTCTTACACAGTGCACTTCACTACTCTAGGTAACTGACTCATTTTCTTTCTAAGCATAGTTATAATAGAAACCACTGCTTCACTTTCTAGCAGATGGAGAGCAATCTTGTTTTAATGCACATCATTTACAATAGATACAAGCTGTCAGACAACTTCTGGTAAAATAGGATGCTGAATCAGACATTTATTTTTAGTGGCAATTGTTGACACATAGACTAGCCCACCCAAATGAAAGTATGCCGTATCACTTGGCTCTATCAATAAAATATGCTGTAATAGTCTTTGTCATTTTTCATTTTAGATTTCTGCTTTAGACTTCCTACTATACACCATGATTTCCATCACTTCTCTTCAAGCAGCTTGTTGTCTTAAAACCATTATACTTTATCTTCATAGTTATATCTTAGTTTTTGTTTCTATTCTTTGTTAAGAATCATCAAAACCCAGTAGTTTTAAGTAGTTACATTCATATTTCTAAAAAATGTGCTCTAGAATCCAATAGATTTAGATTTGAATCCCAGCATAGCTCTTTATGGACTGAATGGAAAATGTGTTTTAATTACTGAAAATCCTCCACTTTTTAATTTTATAATATTTCTATCGAAGATTATTATAAGAATCAAATGAGTTAACGTTTCTAAAGTGATTATAATTTACCATATGTATTATTAACTTTAATTCACTAATATGAGCCATCAAATAAATAATGAAAGCCCCCAACAAAAACAGATTTTAAAAAGTGAAGGAGCTGAATTAACACTTATATGACAATATTGGTCATATATCAGCTTTGTCTGTTCCACTTAGTTAATGTCTATTTTGTATAGTTTTAGTATTTTAATACTGCTACTGGAAAGAAGAAAGGAAGAAACATTGACATTTATTATATGCACAATGCCTCTTTTGGTTAATTCATGTAGATGTGATATTTGGAAAATATAATGGGAGCTAGATTTGGGTAAAATTAAAAATGCTAAGTGTATACTTTAGTTGCACATATATTAAAAATGGAACAATACAAAGATTACCCTAACTCCTACATAAGGATGACATGTGAAGCATTTTATATTCCATATTTTTAGAAAAATATATATTTTATATGTTTTTTGTGTATTTGGTGATAAAGCAAGTATGGTAAAATTATAATAAATGGGGATTCAGGGTGAAAAGTTTATGAGAGTCTTTTGTATTATTTTTATGACTTTTCTACAAGTCTCAAATTATTTAAAAATTAAAAAATAATATCTTGGGAAATAAAAAAGTAAAAATAAAGTTGCAATCAGTCTTTTATTTTATTTTTTTTCAGTCTTTTAGTATGTTTCAACTAGATCTGGATGAACCCTTATGGGATAGGTACTTTTGAAGTATAGAGGTTTCATGTTTTATGTGTATTACATTTTAAGTTTTAGATTTGCTAGTTGTACTCTACAATATAATAATGTATTTTCTAAAATCCTTTTTTTAAGTTGTTAAAAAGCCATGAGCTTACTTGATACATCTTATAAAAACAAATTATTAAGAGTGCTATTTATTTTTTACTCTAGTGCAACCAATAAGTACTTTCATACATAGATACACTCATAAATACAAATTATGATAAGTGCGATAAACAATGTATAATTGTCAAGATTGACAGAGAATACATTAGTTAAATTAGTTGGTCAGTGAAAGTCTCACTGAGGAGATGACATTTAAAATGTTACTTAAAGGATAAGACAAGAAAATTAGGGAAAGTGGTAATGTCGACAGGGAGCACAAGGAGCATTGCAGAGAGAGACCAAGTCTGATACCTTGCAGAGGAAGAGAGTGGAGCATGTTTGAGAAACTGGGAAAAGGGCAGTGTGGTTGGAGTACAATAACCAAGGAGATGAGTGGCTCAAATGAATGTGAAGAGAGAGGGTGGGGCTGTATCGTCTAGACCCTTGAAAGCCACACTGGAAGATTTTAAGCCAAAAAGTCAGTTGGCCAGATATACAATCTAGAAAGCTCAGTTATTGTGAAATATGTTGTGTGTGTGTTGTGGGGCAAAATGGGAATGGAAAGATTAGTGAAGAGCCTATTTCAGTAGCTTAAGATGGGTAACAGTTGCTTGGACTAGAGTAATACCTGCATAAATGGAGGAAACATCATTTTGTGATATATTATGTGTATATATTTTGAATGTATTATGGGTGGAAGAAATTTACTTTATTACAAATAGCTGCAGCTTAGGAGCACCTGGGGGGCTCATTCAGTTAAGTGTCTGCCTTTGGCTCAGGTCATGATCTCAGGGTCCTGGGACTGAGCCCCATGTCAGGCTCTCTGCCCAGTGGGGAGTCTGCTTCTCCCTCACACTCTCACTCTGCTCTCCCTCCCTCTTTTTCTCTCTCTCAAATAAATAAATAAAACAAAAAAAACCCCAAAAACAAAACAAATAGCTATGGCTTAAGACTTCAACTGAAACCATGGTAATAACAATGGCATACTTAACATTTAAGAAAATATTAGAATCTCGCTATAATGAACATTATGTTAAGACTTCTAACTAAAAATGATTATTTTTAAATGAGTGAGAATTTAATCATTATTATTATAATCACAAATTATGTGAAACTTTTAATTTCTTATTTTCCTTTATAAACTCATTTAAATGGATATAACTTACTGAGAATGTGCTATTGTTCTTATTTTCTTAATGGTTCAATTATACTTAAAATGATTAACAACATAATTTCATATTATGTTGGTAGAGGATGATGATGCACTTCTTAAATGAACAAAATAATAATAAGTGAATAATTAATTTGTAAATCCTGGATATTGTGAGCTTGTAGGAGGTAAATGTATATCTAAAAGATGATGAAAATTATTAGCTAATGTTATTTGTAATCATGATATTCCATGGGGATTAGTGACCTTACTTATCATAATTGTAATAGTATAAACATTTAATCAATGCTATCAATATTTCATCACCAAAGAGTTAATGGAGAAAAAACAACCAAAAAATAGAGAAAACAAAACAAGAGAGTTGGTGATGTGGAGGGTATAACATCGTATATTGGGAAGAGCCCTGGCTTAAGTCAAAAGATTTGGCTTCCAGTTCTGGATTCAGGGAACCTTGGTTAATTCATCACTGATGATTTGTAAGGTTTTCCGAATTCATAACTGATGATTTGTAAGGTTTTCTTTCAACTCCCCAATTCTGTGCTTTTTCTGAAATACAAAGGATTAGAGCCCTCTGGCTACTTTTATTTAAGTGTTCTTGTTCATTCCACATTCTCTCTGCATAATAACTTGTTTTAAAAATCAGAACTTTGGGCGCCTGGGTGGCTCAGTTGGTTAAGCGACTGCCTTTGGCTCAGTTCATGATCCTGGAGTCCCAGGATCGAGTCCCGCATCGGGCTCCCTGCTCGGCAGGGAGTCTGCTTCTCCCTCTGACCCTCCCCCCTCTCCTGCTCTCTCTCTCTCATTCTCTCTCTCAAATAAATAAATGAAATCTTTAAAATAAATAAATAAATAAATAAAAATCAGAACTTAGGGGGCGCCTGGGTGGCTCAGTTGGTTAAGCGACTGCCTTCAGCTCAGGTCATGATCCCGGAGTCCCAGGATCGAGTCCCACATCGGGCTCCCTGCTCGGCAGGGAGTCTGCTTCTCCCTCTGACCCTCCCCCCTCTCATGTGCTCTCTCTCTCATTCTCTCTCTCTCAAATAAATAAATAAAAAATCTTTAAAAAAAAAAAGAAAAAAAAATCAGAACTTAGGGGCACCTGGGTGGCACAGTTGGTTAAGCGGCCGACTCTTGATTACAGCTCAGGTCATGGTCTCAGGGTCGTGAGATCAAACCCTATGTAGGGCTCTGTGCTCAGAGGGGAGTTGGCTTGAGATTCTATCCCTCTGTCCCTCCCTCACTCTCTCTCTCTAAAAATAAATAAATCTTTAAAAAAATTTAAAAAAATCAGAACTTAAAAATCAGAGAATATATTTCATTATCTATCATTGTGATTTGAGTGTATTGAGAAAGTGGATTCTTGGGAAGAATGGAAAGATCAGATAAAGTGTGATGTGTCGAAGCAGGAATGAGATTAAAACACTGAGCCATTGAGATAGTGGGTCAAATAGAAATAAGGAAATAAAAGTAACTAGTTTTAGTAGTTAGGTGGGAAAACATTATAAAAGTAATTAATAAAAGAATTCTGGACCAGCTGCTACTATATTTCCAATTGCCTTATTCCTTCTTGGAGTGACTCTGCATCCTCTAAATTCCAGAGCTTATTTTCTCTTTAACGAGGCTATAGGGGATTTAAAGCTGCTTCTCCAAATCTGGATTTCAGCAAAATCTGTTTGTTACTATCACAGAAAGAAATCTGGCCCCAAAATAAGCATGATCGTAATGACTACAGAGAGAAAAAAGCCTACAACTTGGGTTAGAATACCTTGAGTAGAGTTCTAGTTTTGTATCCTATTAGCTGTTCTATACAACTACATGAAAAATCTGACATTCAAAAGCAGCATTTGTAAAATGTGAACAATTTTGTCTATTTCTGTTATCCTCATCAGGAAAATAAGAGTTAAATATGGCAACTTATATAAAAATGCTTTGTTATCTGGAGACTGCTATATGTTTGTGAGCTAGTTTTTACTATTCATCAATTTAGCCTGTCTAGTATGACCATTGATGGATACAGATGAAAATTGGAGAATTTCTTCACTACTATTAGTCAACTTTGTATTACCATAGAGTTTAACAATGATTGAGTTGTACTCCCAAACCCGACACTAATTAAGAAAAAAGCAAAAAATTCCACAAAACTCGTAGTTCCTCCAGCTCTGCAATAGATCATCACAGGGCCATTAACTTCTCTGTAAGATGCTGTTCACTCTTCTAACTTCCATCTCCACCTTCTGCTTCCTTGTATATAGCAACCACAGATTCTCTTGCTCACATTATGAGTTCTCTAAATGCCATTCAACTCAATACAACTGGAACTGAATTCAATATCTTATGCATACAATGCAGATTAATGCTTTCCTCAGTCTCTGTTTCTTAGCAGTTCTAATGTAGATTTTCCACAAAAACATAAAGTAGCATCAAAGTTTCAATGTTTTTTTAGAGTAGCCCCAAATATCTAACATTAGAAAAGTCCAAGATGTAATAATCATCTGCAAAGTATAATAATTTTGACTTGGTGCCAAACCAGGGGTTATAAACTTGATTTCGAACAGACATCTTCCTAATGTATCTGGATGTAAATTCACAAATTATCATATATCCAAGTGGTCATCAATCACTAGAATCATCTTGCAACACAAAACAGTATTATTACCAGATTGAGGAGTTTTTATTCATTTTGTAAAATTGAATTCAAATTATACTTTATAATATAAACCTTTAATTTCATTTTATGGAAATATATGAATTTGCTTGAACAGAGAAAGAAAGTTTATAAATATGCAACCTAAACATATCTGTTGTGAAATGAGCTGTGTCCTTTGTATTAAATTAGGTACTTTCCAAAAGAAGAGGTTCAAGGTTCAGACAAGTTTTTGTGTTTAGGTAGGCTAGTTAAGTGGTTATTCCAGGAAGCAAGGGTATGGGGTCTTCGAAGAAGAGTACCGGAAGGAGGTAAAGGCAATATGAAGCATGTTACTACAGGAACTGTGATGAATTGGGGCTTGATTCTCCTTAGAACTTTCTGAGGAGCGTATGGAATGCTTGACAGAACTGCCTACTTGAAGACCAATCATGACAAACTCCTTTCCTCTATCAGTTGAGTGTTGCCCTTGGTATGTTAATTTCCTAGGCTAATGCATGCCTACTGAACAAGATTTACTTTGCTCAAGGTGAAATGTTGTCAATATATGGAAAATCAAAGCTCATTTTCAACTGTCCACCATAGATTCCACAAGAATTAGAAGCCGAGAGGAGGATTCATGGTGGGACATCAGGTACCTTATTACATATGCGTTTGTGAACTTCAGTGATAAACCACCTATAAAAACAGTGTTTAAATCATCCGGAGCCCAGTACTATTGTTTTTAGACCTATGCTGCCAAATTATATTTTCAAATTTGGAAAACCAGAATATAGTTAAACTGGAC